CGACCAACAAAATTTTCCTGAATCTCGCCGATTAAGTATTTTTTTAAATCCATTATATTCGATGGAATAATTAACAAAATAACTATAAAGTTACAGAGCAAAACTATAAATAGCACTATCCAAGGAAAAATTCAAAAGAGAATGTCAAAACAATGTGACACAGTCATAACTTTTGTCTTTTTGGTTATGTCGGTAAAAAAGTGCACTTTATTTTACAATAAATTACTGTTGGAAATTTTTTTGTAACTTTAATTTTGACCTCGAATAACTTCTACATGGTTAAAATAATCAAAAATTTTCCAAAGACTTTTTTGTAGAGCGTCAAATTTCCTAAAAGAATAATTTTTGGTTTGACAATCCCTTCAACCGCTTCAGAGTTACAAAATTCCAAAATTAAAAAAAAAAAATTCCATGGTATTTAAATGGGAAATAGAAATCTGCGTTTCGCGACCTCTTAATATTAATATTAAGGGCTCTTGTTTTCACAGGTATCTTTTAACACCTTCTCGAAAGTTTTTACATAAGGATTTCGAAAAAAAATAAATTAATTATTTTTTTTAATCAGCCTAATGAGTCCTATACATTTAGGAGACCTTTAAGTTAAATGTAATCTACTAACTGGCAGTTCCAAAATTATGAAATCTATATTTTGCTTAAATTTATGTAAGTTCTTAAAAACATATAAACAAATTTCTAGAACATATAATGAAGCTAGTGGCAAAACACCATATTCTACAAATATTGGTCGACAAGAATCATATTTAGGAAATTTACCTATTATTCTAAGGATTTTCCTTTGAAGAATAAAAACGTCACTCGAATCAGTTGAGTTTTAACGTAGACTAATCCCGTATCTCAATCGACATTCTACTTGAGCATAATAAAGACAGATTAAAGTTTCATGATCTAAAATTTCTCTTACATTTCTAAACAAGTAAGACAATAATAGTAATTCCATAAATTTGACGTTAGTATCTAGCCTGTTTATTCCTAAATTGTATGCACAATGTCTGAGAAACCTCCTCTATACATCTAAATCATAAAATTTCATCTGCTTACCAACAGAAAAATCCATTAAGTCAATTAATGGTATTATGTACTTAATGAATATGAAAATAATTTAAAAATAAGGTTATAATTGTTTCATAAAACTTCATCTTGAAAAAAAGTTTTGATATGAAATAAAGTAAGGATTGCTAATTTCACCCCCCTATAATGTAACAGGAATTTTGAAAAAATGCTCGTGATTAGTCCTTTGAGAGTGCACGAAAAATACAGACCTTCAAGTTTCTACCTTTACAGAAATTAAAAAAAAAAAAAAAAAAAAAAAAACTCAATTTTAGTCACCACCTTTTAACGGTGATATCTCGGAAAGGGGTGGGCTGAGGAAATTTTCTTATAGAAAAGACCCATCTTAATTTCATACGAGCAATCACCTCCTCAATTTTATCGCATGAATTTAGAAACATCCTGTGTATCCTGCTCATCTTTTGTTTCAAGTTGGTACAATTTATTTAAAATTAAATTTTTTTCATCGTGAGTAAGCTTGTTAATACACTTCATAGTACATCTGAAATAATTTATTGAAGCTATAGCATCTAAGTCTTCATAATTTTTTATGAACTTACCTGCATGGTTGTCCAATGCTTTTAGAATTTACCAAAGCACCTTTGTGAATATTGTGGTCTAGTCCTTTTACTCTTGATCTTTTTATTAAATTTCTTTTATATGTGGCATCGTTTCTTATTCCTTCACGACGCTTTAAAGGTGGTTCCTCTTCGATAATTTTATTTTCATCCATAGTAGGCAATAACACTACTAGCTGCTTAATATTAATATTATTTTTGTTGATTATTAAACAGGTATCCAAAAATATAGTATATTATTCAATAAGTGTATAATGTTGACCATATACACGAATTGAATACTATACTTTATCTACAACTGAATACGGGGGCTCACCGAAAATGAAAAGGGGATTTTTAGAAAAAATTCTTTGAAGTTGTTATAAATAGAATTGACAAGATTGTTCACAATTAAAAGACCTTTCAAATGAAGAGTATTTAAGCCACCGTGTGAAATAAAACGCCAATTTATACAGGAATTCGTTTAAAGTTATTTATTGATGTAATTAATAGTAACATTACAATTTGAAATATTAATAGCTCCGGTAATATCATTTAGATTATTGTTTTTTAAAGAAAAATTAGTGTTGCTATTGATGAGTACAGAATCATGACGATCACTGTCAGAAGATGATGGATTATTAAGACCAACACAATTTTCATTATTGATTAGACTTAAAATTGCTTGAGCTATTTCTATTTTGTTCTTTTTTGAATTGGCGATGTACCCTTCTGCTGTGGAGGCGGATTTCTAGCCTCCATGCCGTTTTAATGTTGTCATTGAAGCTCCAGAATCAGCAACCAATGTTGCAGATGAACGCCTGAGGCAATGGCCAGTATATCTCTCAGGGTTTGGTAATTGTAAAAACGTAGCAATTTGCTTTCCCATTGCTCTAAACTTGTTTATTCCTATCACTTGTTTTGTATACTTTCCTTTTTGGAAATTGAGAAAAAAATCTTGTGGTGCATTTTCGGGCCGGAGGTCTATATATTTTTTAACGATTTTGAAAAAATTATCCACAATTGTGAAATTTCTTGGGACTTTGATTTTTGTATGTGGTACGTTTACTTGAAAACATCCCTCAAAACATCTTAAATCCCCAATTTTCATATTCTTTAATTCACATGATCGGCAAGTAACCATGACTCCCATAATCAAGGCAACCTTAAAAAAATGTGTAGATTAAGTTAAAGAATTTTTATTTTCGATTCGAGTTTTTACCTTTGTTCCAAGATATTTAAAATCTGGGGCTTCCTTTATAAACCTCTCAATTTGTTCACCAGTCAGAGCTTCAGATTTCTTAGGTTCGTAATTTTCGGATCGTCTTTTCAACAAAGCACGTAATCTCGGATATTTATCAATGTCGACATTGTGCTTGATGTTTAACATGATTTTTAGCATGGAATAGTTTGTCCATAAAGTAGACGATTTGTATTTACTAGAAATTTCCATAAAATATACAAGCACAGTGTCTTCGGAAAAAGAGGATACATTTTTCGTTGGTTTGCAAGACATAAATTTGTTGTATGCAATCTCACAATTTTTCCTCGATATTTCAGGTAATAATTCCAACGACGCCACTTTAGCAGCGTCGCGCATTTCAGGAAGTGTTAGTTCCATGTAATCATCGTCTTCCATTTTTTTAATTGATAAACACTTAAAACGGGCTTAATATTTTAAGTTTAATTTCAAAAAAGAATCGGGAAAAACGAATAACTGTCAACATGCTGTCAACTAACTTGTCAAACGCATACTAGATCTAATGATTTTTCATTCTAGTGGGGTATAATTGACAAAAATCGTGTAATATGAATATATTCTCACTAGTGTATATGGATTGCTTTATGTTGCCTTAGATACGCATATAATACATCCATATAATGACAGTTGTAGATAAAATAATTAAGTAAACAACCTATTGTATGTCGTGGAACAAGCTATTATTAAAATTTGAGGTTATTTTTACAGGTTCCGGTTTTACCATGTTTCCATGCGCGAGACATTTTATTTGCAAAAGGAACTAAGTCCATGACTTAGTTCCTTTTAGCAATAAATACCAATAACTACCGCTAAAATAGTACACAAGCAATATAGGTAGACGGTTCCTTCTTCCACCAAACGAAATGAATATCTTCAAAGTTACAACTAACAAAATTCGCTAAAAAAACAATCTTAAAACTATACAAATTTTAAAAGTATGCCCTGGGAACATAAAATCGTACAAAATGTACATGTACAAACAAAACTGATAGTTCCCTAGTACTTGTTGGCAGTTGTGAGAAAATTTTGGCGTTGCTATTTAAAATAGTCGAATCACATTAGAGACCAAGGAGAAAGAGAAAGTAATAGAAAAAATGGTTTATACTGGCTTCAAACAGATCCAGACCGTTCGTTATCTATTATTCATTTGTTTACCTTAGAATCTAAGTCTAATTCCGTGACCTTAACGCATGTTAGAAGACTAAAAAGCCAAACTTGCTACAAGTGACAGAGCAGAAAGAAATGTACTAATATATTTTTTTAGAATTTTCTCTAAGTTTATGTTTTTTATGTAGCTTTTTATAAAATTGGAGAATTATATTCATATCTCTCCGACTTCAAATATAGAAAGTTACGTATTTGCTGAGGCTGTCCAAATATATATAGGGTGTTAAAAAAAAAGTGTCACAAAATAAAACGGGGGGTAGTATGGGCCAAAATATGCAGAAAAGTCTTAATAAACATATGTCCGCAAATGAATGGTTTCAGAGATACGGAGTGTTTTGTGTTTTGTATCATTTTTTGATTATCTTTTTTCATTCTCAAAAACTTGCTTTTCCTATCGGAGTCTACCGATGTTTTTTCATAGATACTATTTGCAGTTATTATTTTGTTGTGGGCGAATAATTTTATAAATTTTCGTTATGCCTGTTTACACTAATATTGAATTAGCTGACATGCATTTTATGTACGGTCGTGCAAATGGCAATGCATTGAAATGGAGGGAGGGCACTTTGAACATCTCATTTAACTCTATATTGTTATTGATTGTTTATAAATATCATTGTTTTTTTATAATAATAAAAAATTGTTATAAATCCAAAATGGTCCGTATCTCCGAAACCGTTAATTTGCGGTCATATATTTATTAAGACTTGTCTACTTATTTTGGGTCATACTATTCACCATTTCATTTTGTGACACTTTTTTTTTAACGCCCTGTATATAGGATATTACCTACTATCTTTTTATAAATAATTAAATCTGTGAAGCACGTTTCAATGATAATTGTTTAAGCATTATTCTGTTTACTGAAACTAGAAGCATACAAAATCTACTTTAAGTGAAAATTTAAACGAATAAATACAATTTTTAATTTTGGATTTTCATGAAAGCCCATAAATCCAAGAGCGGCAGCTACAAATCTGTTACGAAAGTGGGATCCAGATCCAAAGTCGACTTAAAAAACGCACCGAAATCGGGACACGATATAAAAACTACAAGTACGTATAATTTATTTATATAAAATAGATAAAGTATGAAAGCAGATTTTTAAAAAATGTTTAACTGGATAATATTATAATCTTAAATCTACAATTGCCTGACATTTTTTGAGGCGTCACGTCTGCTGTAGATACTTTCAAGGTCACAAAATAGTTGGAAAACTTACGTATTAGTATGAAAGCTGAATTTTGTATATTATTTGGACAGTTATTAAGAATATTCAAACAGCCAGACACATCTGACGAATCTAACATCTGCCAGACACAACAAATGCCAAACGTGACAGCTTGCATCATTCCTAGATTGTTTAGGTTTTTTTATTACTATTTATTTTAATATTGTTTATGGATTTACTTGTTGTACAGGAACAATTTTTTGATTTTTTTTTAATACAATAATATAAGTAATTTATAATTGTGGGTTCATTACTCTTGAGCCGAAATTACTAGATCAAAAGAACTTACCTGAAGTTCGATCGTAATTATATGAAGCGTCCAGTCCGAAGATATCACTTGAATAATTTGTAGTACGTGCTCCCAGGTACTCTCGCGCACAAGTTTTAAAGACGAAGAACTGCCTTTCCCCTACCCCTGCATTACCTACTATACCATCTCTAGAACTTCATTGTTTGAAAGACGGCTGTGTTTTGCTGGTAATTAGAGCTGGGTCCTAGTCACGGGTTGGGTAAGTGATATCTTCGGACTGGACGCTTCATATAATTACGATCGAACTTCAGGTAAGTTCTTTTGATCTAGTAATTATATTTCAGCGTCCAGTCCTCGATATCACTTGAATAATTTGTAGATGTTAAAAGATAAAAAGTGCAAAACATCAGCTTTTAATAAGAACATTAAATAACAGAACACAAAACAACTTAAACTATGTATCAAATACTGCCTCCATCAGATGTGTATCATGAATAAGAGGTCTATTATAAAATTTAGAAAAAACTAAAGATCCTTCGGACCATCCCGCGCATTTCCGGATTGTCTCGAACGGAAGTCCTTTTCTTAACGCAGCCGATGTAGATGCATGCCTTGTGGAGTGTGCCTTAAAGTAGGAAGAATCCACCCCAGCTTTTTCCATAGTCTCTTTCACCCACCAACTGAGCGTCTGCTTTGATGCAGGTCTATACGGTTTGGTGGAAGTAATGAAGAAAAGGTCACTTTGCGGATCCCTTAAACCCTCAGTCGCTGTAAGATATTCCTTAATAGCGTCTGCCACGCAAAGTCTTGGATTTTTGGTAAAATAAGGGAAATCCAAGCAAGGTTGCGCCCTATTCGGTCCGGAGGTCTTTATCGGGTCAGGTATAAAGATTCGAATCCCTGTTTCAGTTTGGTTAATGTTACTACATTTGATCAGCGACAGCGTTTGAAGCCTCTGTCCTGTAGCAAGGGCCATCATAGTAACTAATCTTGAAGAAATCGTTTTTAAGTCGGTATTTGGTAAGGATTCGAGGTATTTCAATACCAGCTTTGGATCCCATGTAACATCATATTTAGGTTTTGGTGGTCTTTGCTTGTAAATGCCTCTCATAAAGCGCTTTAAGAGTGGATTTTGACCTATGTTTTGGGATACAATTAAGGAAATGGCTGCCCGATGCGAATTGAAGGATCCGTAAACGTTATCTGTCGTTTCTAACAAATATTGGAAAAAATTTAGGACATCACTAATGTTTCCTTCAAAGGGACTAATCTTTCTGTCAGTACAGCCTTAGGGAAGTGTTGTATTGTTTGAGTGTTGTAGGCGTTAGAGATTTTAGAGTCGTGTCTAAGGCACATTCTGGGACACCCCGAGTTAAGAACGCTTGGCTGATAATCTGCATGCAACCAGGATAAGGTTCTTTGAAAGTGGGTGTTCCTTGCCGCTGAAAGGAGAAAACAGAAGATCATTGGCCGGGCCTAGTAAAATGGGGTCACCATCCATTAGTTTCATGAAAAGTGGATACCATGGTTGTCCTTTCCAATATGGAACAATAACTATTCCAGATGCTTTATCGTTAAGTATTTTTTGTAATACCCTAGTTATAAGGCAAAAGGGGGGAAAGGCGTAAAATTTAAGGTTATCCCAGTTTATGGTGAAAGCGTCCACTTTCCAAGAACAATTGTCTCTAAACTAAGAGATATACTTTAAGCATTTTGTATTATATGATGATGCAAACAAATCAACCTCTGGAATTCCAAGCTTCTCTATTATTTGGTTAAAATAAATATTACCTAAGCCCCATTCGGTTTCGGGAGGTAAGATACGTGAGGCTTGATCTGCTTGAATGTTTTCTGAGGATCTTATGTAAGAAGCAAATAACCAAATATCTTTGCCTTGGCACCATTCCCAAATTTGCCTAGCTAATTCACTCAATTTAGGGAATTGAATACCTCCCATTTTATTAATATATGCCAAAGCTGTAGTATTATCCGTTCTCAGAAGAATATTACAGTGGCGTAAATTATTAGCAAAATATTGTAAACCATTAAATATAGCCTGAAGTTCCAGAAAGTTAATATGATTTTTTTGTAAACGCTTTGTCCACCAACCATTTGTACTTTTACCCTTACAAAAGGCTCCCCAGCCGGTTAAACTGGCATCTGTGTAAATTTCAACATCAAACTTATCATTTCTATTATTATTAACTGCAGTGTTAATATTTAGGTACCACCAATCTAAATCAGGTATAACGTTATCTGGCAATGATATTTTTTGATCATAGTTATCATTATTTTCGAGTAATGCCAGATACTTGGCTCGCTCTAAACGTTTTGTGTATATCCAGCCGTATTTCACGGCAGGACAAGCAGAAGTTAGTAAACCTATAAAGCGAGCCAAGTCTAAAATTTTGCATTCACTTTTTGAGCGCAGAGAAGAGGCAAAATCCAAAATACGTTTTCGTTTTTCGGTTGTTAATTCTAATGTCATATTTTCCGTATTAAAAATAAATCCCAAAAATTTACAGATCCGGCTAGGGATTAAGACAGATTTTTCCTCGTTGATTATAAAGCCAAGTTTTTGTAACAAATGCTTTGTAAATTGAACATTTTGGGAACATTCTAAAGCTGATGAGCCCAAAATTAAAAAATCATCTAGATAGTTAACGCATAATATACCTGAACTTCTTAATATCTGAATTATCGGTTTCATGAGCTTGGTGAAAGTGTAAGGGGCTGACGAAAGTCCAAACGGAAGACATGTATATTCAAAAAGAGTGTCTTCAAAATTAAAACGTAAAAATTTACGAAAGTTTTTATCAACAGAAATTAAGTAATAAGCGTCGGTTAGATCAATGGTCGCTGCAAAGAAATTTCTCTGAATAAGTCTGCTTGCCGTTCTAGCATCCTCCATTTTAAAATGGAGAGCTTCGATAAAACTGTTTAAATTTTTCAAATTTAATATACAACGTTTTTTACCGTTAGATTTATCTGCAAGAAAAATCTTAGAAATAAAGTGATTTTTAACTGGGCTACATAAATTAATGGCTCCTATTTTAATGAGTTTGTAAATTTCACTTTTTACTTGATTTTTTCCAGCGAGGAAAAATTAGTAGGTATTGGTGGACAAGCCTAAAATGGTTTCTCAGTGAAAGGTAATGTGTAACCTTTAACCCATTTCAGAACAACGTCGTTAGTCGTAATATTACTCCATTCGTGGAGAAAAAAACTTAAACGACCTGCATATGAATTACTTACCGTTTTTAATTGTCCTTCCTGCGGTTCTGGCTCGTCCTGTCTCGTTTGTTTTGACTGTGCCAATGGGCTGATCTGGAGAACTGCCCTTTGAGAGGCCTCGTCTCTCCCGTTCGACGGGCCGGGCGATAATAGTTTAAATCTCTGGGACTTTTTCGTGTCATTGAAGGCACTCGCCCCTCCCCTTTTCTTTTTGAAAAATTAGGAACAGTAGAAGAAGGCTTCAGGTCCTTACCTATACTTTCCAGAGTTTTAGCCATCTTAATTTTGTCTCCTAAGTCAGAACCAAATAATAGTTCTGAGGGAGGATTTTTATCCACCTGTTCTTTAATATTTTTATTTAGTAGCGGGTAGATCATATTTCTTCGAGAAATAGATACCTTGTGAAAGAGATTAGAAAATATCTTTCCTGAATCAGAGATATGCATCAGCAGTGCTTCTTTAACATCCTTGGGAATTTCATGTTTATCTTCTAATAATAAGGTAATTCCTTTGCCGAGCGCGCAAAGTCCGTTTCCCAGATGATTTTGGATATCTACGAGAGAACCATCTTTTGATAGGTTAGCCTTAGGCATAACCGTGAAAATCTCCGGATTCAGTCGCGGAGCTATTAATTCCTGTAGGTTTGATGGTGCTACGTAATTTTCGAGGAGAGGCACCAGTTCCTCTTTCTTGATCCCATTTAATAGGAAATGTCGCCATCTAGGAGTTATTGCTTCGTGCAAAACAAATTTATTTTTATGTTCTTTCTCGGGATTCTCTCCTAATAGATTTAACAAATCATCATCCTGTAGAATTAGACTTTCATCATTTTGATTATCTTTAAAATTATTACGAACGCTACGAGCATTCGATAAAATTGAGAAAGAACTCTGCTCAGAATTAACTGGACTTAACTCTCGGGCCTGTACGATAGACCCCACAACTCCCCGTCCTGTATTCGAAGCCGCTTGACTGCGAGCCAAGGAATCTCGTGAACAGTGCCTCTGTGATCTGTCTCGGAGAGCGCGATGGAGATTTTTGCCGGCGATCGACGCAGGGACTTCGAGTCCGAGATGTCGCCTGTTGGCATTTCAGTTGTTTTTCTAACTTTTTAATTCGTTTTAACAAATAATAAGAGTCTGTAGAACTCGATGATGAGCTTCTCTTTCTCTTATGTTTTTTAGATTTTCCCATACTAAAAAGAATGCTGTAAAAGGAATGCGTTAATATATTAAAATTACTTACGTATTTCGTCTCAGAGCGGCCACAAGCTACGATACGTACGCGATGAGCCCAAGAAACACAATGAAGTTCTAGACACAGACCATACCCTTTAAAGA